TCCAGCTGACGTCCCTGGTCACCCTCAGTCAGTGTCCAGCTGACATCCCTGGTCACCTCCAGCCAGTGTCCAGCTGACTTCCCTGGTCACCTCCAGCTAGTGTCAAGCTGACTTCTCTGGTCACCTCCAGCCAGTGTCCAGCTGACTTCTCTGGTCACCTCCAGCTAGTGTCAAGCTGACTTCCCTGGTCACCCTCAGCCAGTGTCCAGCTGACATCCCTGGTCACCCTCAGTCAGTGTCCAGCTGACATCCCTGGTCACCTCCAGCCAGTGTCCAGCTGACTTCCCTGGTCACCCTCAGCCAGTGTCCAGCTGACATCCCTGGTCACCCTCAGTCAGTGTCCAGCTGACGTCCCTGGTCACCCTCAGTCAGTGTCCAGCTGACGTCCCTGGTCACCCTCAGTCAGTGTCCAGCTGACATCCCTGGTCACCTCCAGCCAGTGTCCAGCTGACTTCCCTGGTCACCCTCAGCCAGTGTCCAGCTGACGTCCCTGGTCACCCTCAGTCAGTGTCCAGCTGACTTCCCTGGTCACCTCCAGCCAGTGTCCAGCTGACTTCCCTGGTCACCCTCAGCCAGTGTCCAGCTGACGTCCCTGGTCACCCTCAGTCAGTGTCCAGCTGACTTCCCTGGTCACCTCCAGCCAGTGTCCAGCTGACTTCCCTAGTCACCCTCAGCCAGTGTCCAGCTGACGTCCTTGGTCACCTCCAGTCAGTGTCCAGCTGACTTCCCTGGTCACCTCCAGCCAGTGTCCAGCTGACTTCCCTGGTCACCCTCAGTCAGTGTCCAGCTGACGTCCCTGGTCACCCTCAGTCAGTGTCCAGCTGACGTCCCTGGTCACCCTCAGTCAGTGTCCAGCTGACATCCCTGGTCACCTCCAGCCAGTGTCCAGCTGACTTCCCTGGTCACCCTCAGCCAGTGTCCAGCTGACGTCCCTGGTCACCCTCAGTCAGTGTCCAGCTGACTTCCCTGGTCACCTCCAGCCAGTGTCCAGCTGACTTCCCTGGTCACCCTCAGCCAGTGTCCAGCTGACGTCCCTGGTCACCCTCAGTCAGTGTCCAGCTGACTTCCCTGGTCACCTCCAGCCAGTGTCCAGCTGACTTCCCTAGTCACCCTCAGCCAGTGTCCAGCTGACGTCCTTGGTCACCTCCAGTCAGTGTCCAGCTGACTTCCCTGGTCACCTCCAGCCAGTGTCCAGCTGACTTCCCTGGTCACCTCCAGCCAGTGTCCAGCTGACATCCCTGGTCTCACTGCCTGCCAGTGTCCTGCGTGCGCTGTGGCTGTTTGAAGCACCACCATACCAGCCATCCCTGCCCGTTATTTCCAGGCGGGTTCCACATGGAATCCCATTGGCTAGGCAAGTGACGATGCATGGAGTAAACCGTTTGAATGTGTTTTTGCAATCACGATGCAGGCATCGCATTGCGCATGTGAGAATTACATTTCCTTTACAGTTAATGCAAATTGTATGCCATTTAGGTTGATGGAGTGAGCGAAGCTTCATAAACAGGACAAGCAAGACATAACGCAAATGTTAATATTCATAATATAACATTGATCATTACTTGCTTATCTACGTTAAGGCCCAATGTTTGTCGAACGTTTGTCCAATGGTTCCAAACAAATGCCAACGTTGGTCCAATGTCGCACCTTTACCAGGAAGCAGGACCCGCTCTCTCATGCGCCGGCCGCTGAGAGTTAACTGCACATGGCGATTCATGTGGCACGTGGGTATGGTGGCGTCTGACATTGCACGTGAAGAGGGAAAGTATTGACGTGTGACACACGTCTCGGGGAAAATTCCCAACGTGTCACATATTCACTCGAGGCATGGCCAGTGTGCGTCTTGCTTCGTGTGCGAACAGACCAACAAAGGAACCTTCGCGAAAAATGCCGGACGTGTCGCGTTTTGCATTAGCCCATTGTGCAGCGAGCTTTTCCAGAGAAGCCTGGCGCGTGATATTATTATAGGGAGGAAAAAACAAAAGCCCCAACGGGTGACATTTAGGGTGTGTGCATGCTCACGTGTGTGTGGGTGTTGCGCGTGTGGGGGCGTGTGGTGTGCCCGCGCCTTCGCAAGTGTTTTAATTAATGCTCGGCTTTATCAACATAACCGGCAGGTTGCCATCGTGGGGCAGCAGCCTACGGTGCCCTATCTCCGCCGGAGGGTGTGCCCCAGTATTCCTAAATGAGCGCGCGGCTGCCAGTAAATCAATGCCGACATGCAACTTTGAAATGCTGCGTCGCGCAAATGGTCCGTCCTCGGCGAAAGGGGTTAAGGCTGTGACAGTCGTATCATGGAGGTTCAGGCCGCACATGATAAATGAGAGGCACAATTACCACTATAAACCAAGTTGAATGAAGGTGCAAAGCAATTACAGGTCAAGAGCTTGGCCTTCTTGCTTACGGCTGGGAATTCACATTCACCTTACAGAGACTTTGAATCCATTGCCTAGTCACCAGCCCCGGGCCAATCAGAGCTTAAAATGTCATGCCCTTTTCTCGTTTATGGCTACAAAGAAAAATGTGCGAAATTTCATAATCTTTAACAAAAAAAAATTATTTTGCCCGACACCAGCGATTAATTTTATTTTGACCTACAGACATTATTATGACAATACATCAAGAAAAATATATCTGGTGTAACCAAAAAAAATATGACTTTGATGCTCTCGAGAAATATTTATTTTGATTCAGTTGATTGAACAAAGGCGTGGCATTCGCATCGGAGAACATTTTCCGTTGCCATGAGATATTTGAATATGCGATTGAAAACGGTCTAAAAAAATACATACACTACTGTATTATAAATAAATAAAAGCCCATTCCTTACTAAAAAATATATTAATATGATGACATTTAAGCCTCAATTTAAATGCAAACTTATTGGGGGGAAAACTTGCAAGCATTCACTGAGGCATAGCTGCTTTTAGAAAAACCGTTATCACGAGTAAATGAAAACCCTAACTACAAAATAATGAGAAATTTTTAACACGCCATTAATATGTGGTGCCCCTCATTGGCAGCACGGCATTTTTATGCATGTATTGCAAACATTAATGCGGTTTATAAAAGGCAGAGGAGGAGATGCGGATGCAATGCCTTGGATAGTGGTGGGGTTTTTTTTTTGCTGGGGAGAGAAGATTATGCCTCTGTGTTGGAAGGCTTAATGGTGTGTTACGAATCACAAGTCTTTTCCATTTTTATTTGTTCTATTCTGTTAAGCACAAGCAAAACACTGAGCCCTCCACACACATCGCTGTAGTTTTGCTTCCGTGCTAGGTAAATTGTATAGATATTTACTGTATGCGCACGCACGCGGAGGCTGCCTCGTGCGACGAGATGGATGGATGCCAGTCCAAGCGTAGTTGTTATGTTTATTTATAAATGCCAATTCCGCACGCGCGTTTGCAATGTCCGTCCGTATCTTTACAATGCCTTACACCGTGGCTGCGATATTAAAGTCTTGTTATTCTCTGCTCAAACAGACGAGAGTAAGGCTTAGAATGTAACATTAGTGAGCAGGTTATTTTTTTATGAACAGGTTTTAGGTGTACAGATATATTTTTTACGGTTTAATGATGGCATAAGACAATAAGGAATTGAAATAACTAAATCCATTCCAATGCTGTACTGACGACATGTTAAGTTTTGCATGGCACCTGATTCCCTGCCTATTTGCTTTGGCCAGGAAATGTTGTGTCTCTCCACGTATCCGCCTGTCCATCCAAGGATACCTGACACGTTCTAACAAATCTTCTTGGTTCTTTCGGTAAAGTCACGTAGAAGGGAAGTAATAAAATAATAAAAATAAAACATAATAAAACAATTCTCACGACGTTTCGGCCACAACGCAAGCAGCCGTCCTCAGGTGAAAACCAGGTCCGTCGAGGCGACAGAGTCTGAATGAAACAGCACACGGGCTTAGAGCATATATATAAGCTGGGCGCATTGACAAAGGAATTTGCATATCAACAGGAATTTAGCATATTTATGGGAAATGCAGGAATGTAATTAGTACTGCATATGCTAAATTCCTGTTGATATGCAAATTCCTTTGTCAATGCGCCCAGCTTATATATATGCTCTAAGCCCGTGTGCTGTTTCATTCAGACTCTGTCGCCTCGACGGACCTGGTTTTCACCTGAGGACGGCTGCTTGCGTTGTGGCCGAAACGTCGTGAGAATTATTTTATGTTTTATTTTTATTATTTTATTACTTCCCTTCTACGTGACTTTACCGAAAGAACCAAGAAGATGAATCCCTGCAGTCACGAAAGCTTTAAATCGAAACGTTCTAACAAAAACTACAAAATCCCTACTTCACATGCCAAACACATTCTTCACGCAGTAGATCAGGTCTGTACTTGAGCAAAATTCGCAATGAAATGCTTTTTATAAAGGTTTACGAATTAACAACAAAAAAGCTGTTACTCTGCATATTGTGATTAACACTTTTTTTAATTGTAAGGGTGCATAGGTGTAAGGACACAAACCCGTCCATCCACTTATGTGTTTGCTTGAATCCGTGCAATACATATCTTGCATAGTCAAATCCCCTTATAAATGGAGTCTCCCTTAATGTCCTGGTTTGCCAGCTCACCCTCTTTTCCACGAGGAGATCTACAGACTTTCTGGGATATTGCCGCAATATCTGCACGATTTTATATGCTTAGAAATAAAAGGCCAATTTTGGTACTATAAAAAATTGGTTGCAAAAATTGACCAACATTTCTGCCATTTTCTTCTACCCTTTTGGGGATTTTATCCACCAAGGTGGAAAGCCAGTTTCCAGGCTACCCTTGACGGTCATGCAAATGAGATGTTCCATCTCAAAGGATTACCCAACTAAAATACTTTTTTTTTTTATTCTACCCATGAGTCAGGCCGCAGCTTGAACCCTGAATAAGGCCCCGGGCGGGTTTTTGCCGGTACCCCAGCGGCGTGCTCCTGCACCGCTGCGGAGAGTGGAGTTGAACTGGAGCCCTCGATGTGCGGGGCCAGGCTGCAGGCGCTGCGCAAGGAGAAGTCTCGCGATGCGGCTCGCTCGCGCCGCGGCAAGGAGAATCTGGAGTTCTACGAGCTGGGGAAGATGCTGCCGCTCCCGGGCGCCATCACGGGCCAGCTGGACAAAGCGTCGCTCGTGCGCCTCACCATCAGCCACCTCCGCATGCGCGACTTCGCGGCGCACGGGGACCCCCCCTGGGAGCCGAGCCGCGAGTGCTCACACCCCGGCACCACCGCTAAAGGTGAGGGTGCGCGCGCCGGCATCGTCGTCGTCGTCGTCATGATCGGCCGCGATCAATAACGCTGCTGAAGCCCTCCACATGCCGTGGCCATTTTTCACGTTCTTGCGACGTGGCAATCCACCTAACACCGGCTCACAGATTGATTTCATCGCTCCCGTCTTATTTTTTGGCAGACGTAATCTTCTTCATCCTTTGACCGCCACTACGTCGCTCCTTCTTGGCCATCAGCTTCAATCGTAATAATTTACAGCGCTTTCTTAATCCACAGCTGGATGAAGGCCTCCCCCATGACGTATCAGACATGGGGGTTGTTTGACCATAATTCACCACACTGCTCAGTGCGGGTTACAGAAAGGGAAGGAGGCAGGGCCGGTTCAGATATCACTCACTACTCATGTTAGCCAAGGCCGGGAATTAAAGTCGGGTCACTGGGTTCAAAGCACAGCACGCGAATGACTGCATCGCCACTCCACCAGGTTCATAGCACAGCACGCGAACCACTGCACCGGCTTATATGTGGTCATTCAAATGCACCCTTCCGCCACTCAGCCAGTAGATCAATAAACCTATTCATTTAAGAGCCAGGCAATATAATGATGTTGCTGCTCTGGTCCACTATGCGCATGTGTGTGAATATCCTGAATGCAGTTTATCGTTTAGTTGGGGGGTGGGAGGGCACGGTGGTTTGCACACTGCCATATGCACCCGGTGACCTGAGTTTTATTCCTGCTCATGACTAACTTTGGTCGCAAGTGATATCTGAACCAGTCCAGGGTCCCTCCGAGGTCAACCCAATTCACGGAGATCATTTGAGACAGGTACAGCAGTGGTGTTATGAACCCGGTGACTTTAATTCGATTCCTGGCCATGGCTAACTTAAGTGGCAAATCCACACTGACCAGCATGGTCAAATATGGTCAAACATCCCCAATAACTGACACGGTGTGGGAAGGCCTTCGTTCAGCAGTGAATATGTAACCAAAGGTGCCACTGTTCACGGTTGGGTTTGTACTGTTCGGGGAATGTGTCCTGAATTCTCTGTACATGGAAATGAGATGCTTATCCCACGTATATGCCACTTCGCAGATCTTTGGCACTCTTTTTGGGTACAACTGCTATAAAAATAAAGTAGCATTGCTATTAGAAATGAGGCTGAAATGCATGTTTTTCACAGTGGGAATCTGGCTCCATGCCCCCGTGGGTCACCGTGGTTAAAGTTATATTCACTTCTTGACTGTATATTAATAATTTCTCTTATATCGCATCACAACCAAACCATTATAGCTTGCACAGACGAAACCGAACGGGAGACAAATCCATCTCCCTAATGCACTGCACCTGAGCAAGCTGCTTGCACTTGCCTCGGTCTAAGTCCTGCTCCTCCTCGACTATCTCTGCGTGCAAAGTTTTGCAACGAGACTGCTGTGCCACCTGCTCAGCTGGTGTGGAGGAAGGTGGATAGCTTGGGGCACGAGCGGTCTTGATGCGGAGCACGTTGCGACCATCTGGTAAACTCTAGCGCAATCTCACAATTGGCCAAAAAAAAACCGCTTCGCCGGCTTGGCTCGGCACAGCTGGGCGCGCCGCATCCCCGCGCCACGGCATCGCCGGGAGCCAGCGTAACGATGGAGAGTGGGGGGGGGGGCGACGGGGGTTCGTCTTAAGTGCGTGGCATCGCCATTCCAAACTCTTGCCTCACAGCTGAATCGCCCGCACGGTGCCAGATCGTGCGTGACCGTGCGTAGAGCAAGAAGCTGTTCGCTCTTTAAAAAAAAAGAGGTCTCTCAATTCTCCATTCCATTTCGCACCTCCGATTGGCACGCTTGGCTACGTACGGTACGAATGAAGTTTAATATACATTCCTTCCGTCCCACCACATGACCGTTTTCCCGCTTGCAGATATTAGGTGCAACTAGTTGACCTATGGCCACACCGGCAAGAATTTAATTTTGACTGCCTGCTTCACTTACTTATTTCATTCCGTGCTTTCCTTTCATGAAATCAACAGGGAAGTTCGTGTACTGTGAATGCAGAATGGGGTTTTGTGTTGTAATGGCTGCTCTACGTTTTTTTGAGAGTTGCGGGGGTTTTGGATTTCTGGTCTTCCTGTTGTGGATTGGAGGTCGCTTATTCGGGTTTCATATTCAGGTCCTGCTCCTTCCTCTTCAGGTCCCACCTCTTTCTGTTTAGTTTAACACGCAGGCTTTACGCGACCAATATTATCTGTAGTAAAGTGTCTTTTTTTGGGTTAGATCTCGGAATAATAAATGTGTTGTCAAACCCGCCACCACCCGACGCAGCCAATTCTCTGTTTATAGACCCCGCCCCTTACTGCTTTGGCTCCACCCCCTTTTATTGAGGCTCCGCCCCTCCTAGCTCGTGACGCGTCTTGCGCGTGCTTTGGCTTTTGTGTTTTGAAGGCACTGACTGCCCCTTTATGTTTCCTATGAGACTTAGAAACTGATTTGTAAAAACCCCAACATACTGAGACAGACGTCCTAAGAAATGTAAGGTAAACCAAGAAACCGAGGCGCAGAAGCATTGAACAGTCACGAATGCAAGGGCGAGTTTACTTTTGGAGGAAAGAGCTTCAAAGCTCATCGGATTTCTCCGGGATAAATGAATATTCTGATTCTAAAGAGAGGGGTTTGGGTTAGTAAATGAGTTTGCATAGCAGCAGTAGGCTCCACTTAATGAACACCTCCCTCCCCCATAGTAAATGAAATAACAACCTTGAATAGTTATTATTTCCCCACTTGCTTCTCACAGAAAGGGTGTCATTGTAAAGACAAAACTTCTGGAGCTGAGCATTACAAAAGACCTACACCATCGGCAGCTGCCGGTGCCGCCGCAGTTAAAATAGGGCTGAGTGAATGATGTTCAAACCCGAACCAAAAAAAAACCCTGTGAGAATCCATTGCACGGCCGTGAGACACTGGAAATTGCGAAATAACCATGAGTCTCAAAGGTGATCCTTGAGACTCGACGTGTCTGGTGGGGTAGTGGTGGGGATTATGGAATGGGGGGTGGGGGGGGTTGAGAGTGGGTGGATAGGGGACCGTAGGGGAAGGGGTGGCTTCATGGTTGCACGATTTATTACCGAGTAAAAACCTGGGCCCCCCCGCCGCCCGCCCGCCACCCACTTCTTTACCGCCCAGCAACAAAAAAAAATAGCCATCTCCCTCTGCAGTGGCTCCTTTAAAAGGGAAATCTCCTTCCCTTGCTGTCGACCTCCCTGCGAATGTCACGTGCCCGGGACGGCGGCGTCGCGCCTGTAGGAGCTGGCCAGCGTTTGGACAGCTGTTTGTGTGTTGTGGGTTTTTTTCCTGTTCCACTAAGAAGCAACACCTTGTTGGGGCCCGATTACATGGGATTACTGCGGGAACAAGGCCATTAAGGGTTATTTGGCATAGTCGTGCGAGCTTTATGGGCCCCAAAATCGCATCTAAGACGCTTCGATTCATGGCGTGCCGCCAACCTCCGCAACTCGGACGTTTAATGCGCCCCCCTGCCGATTCGCTCCCCCCCCCCCCTCCAGGAAGATCAGCCGGCACCGCCTGTATAAGAAGCTATTGAGTGAGCGGTGTGTGTCCGTGTAGCGGGAGCGCCTACCAGCGAATACGTGATTGTACCGTCGAATACGTGATTGTACCGGTGAATATACACGATTGTACCAGTGCATACGCGATTGCCTATTGGGCAACATTGGTGGAATTCAACATAGGACAGTTGAGGTGACTGATAATCCAATGCTCGCTAATTCACTCCAGTCACTTGCTCGTCGACGGCCAGTCCGCCTGCTTATCAGTCTTATGTTGCTAATACTGTGATTACTCTTCCCCGTGAATTCTACTCCACACTGGAGGTCTATTTCTCTCACTTCCCTTGCAATGCTCTCCTTTGAAATTCCCTCCGATCATTGTCTATTTTGCCATGCTCTTACATTAATAACCTTGCTCAATTCAAGTAAACGTGCAAGCTATCTATTACAACTTTGACAGCGCTGTTTGTTGCCGGTCGCTTGACGTTTCGTGCCTTCGTGCCTGTGCTCAGCAACTGTAAACAAAATATGCAGGACAGGATGGATGGACCATGTGAGATGTGCAGAAGCTCTTGGCTGAGCAAATGGCATGCGTGTAACGATGTTGCATCGTTTTGTCAATTGAATCGTTGCTCATAACACAGGGTTTTTTGGGTTAGATTGTGTAAACATATAAATGTGTCGTAAAAACCCGCCACCACCTGACACAGCCAATTAGTAAGGTTTGTCATGTAAACAGAACATGCCAATTCGTTACTAGTAGAGCACCACCGGTGTGTTGGAGAGCAAAGCCACAACATTTACAATCTAAGTACGACGTTTTCCCAATAATTCCAACCGGCCTGATGATTCCGGTTGTAATTACTGCCGCCTGATGATGCCAGTTGTAATTACTGGCGAAATGTCGTGCTCAGTTTGTAAATGTTGTGGCTTTGCTCTCCAACACACCGGTGTGCTGTATTAGTGATGAATTGGCACGTTTTGTTTACGTGACAAACCCTATTACTAATTGGTTGTGTCGGGTGTTGGCGGGTTTAACAACACATTTATATATTTACGCTTTCTAACCCAAAAAAAAAATCTGTATTATGGATGATATTGGTCGCGAAAGCCTACTCAGTGTTAAACTAAATTGTTGCTATCGCATGGGACCTTTTTTGCCAGTATCAAAATATGAAAAATAAAAAGGCTGTCTCTGGTGTAGGCCAATCAGTTTCAAAGATAATGCATATATTATCAGAGAATGTTGTTGCTTGCATGTTCACACCAAGTGTGTGTGGTTAATGCAGATTAGATTCCTTGCAAAAATAATCTATTTGGTGTGTGAACATCTAAACACCTGTTTTATTGCCAGAAAGGGTAAAACCTATTCTTTTATTTTCATGAATTGTTGCTATCACGATACACACAATTTGATTGTTCGTGTAAAGCCTCAGGTATGTGCGGTTTACGCAAACGATATGCTCACGTTACATTTAATCTATTGCAGTACACGCAACTGTATTAATCGTGGCGAGAACAAGTGAAACGAGAGAGGAAAAAAATGCAGAAATGTTTTTTTTTTACCGACTCACGACCACGCACCGTGACAGGTCATCAAATCGCTTCAGCTGGCCACCCGCCATGTTCCCACCTCCTACAATCCACTCTTTAATCAAACACAGTCCACCTTTATATCGCCAAGAATGTTGAGCTTAGCCCATAATCAGAGGTAAATACAAAAGGAAATTTGTAGGTCCTTTGGGAATAAAAATGTAAACCATCATTTTGACATCCCTGGCAAGTATCCCACATTGGCTTTATAATTATCGTTACCATGGAAACATTAATTGGTCTAGTCACATGACCTTTTTTACCGCTAAACAATTATGCCTGAGCCTCCGAAAGCAAAACAATGGATGGCTGATTAATGTGACCTCCATGACCTAAGCAGTGTATCTTCTAAATATGTTCAGCTCATGAAAGCTATCAGCATCGTGCCATTCTTCAGCGGCAAAAAAGCCCTCTTTGAAATTAATGGCTTTTACAGCCGCCTCCTTAGTAAATTACAAGAAACATTATTAATGTAGGGTAAATGACACGTTATACTTATTAACATTACAATGTATTTTTTATATACAAAATTTGGTATTAATTATGCGTTATTTATTATTCATTATTCCGGCACCAAGATCAAGAAGGTTTAACCCAGCAGAGTGAGGACTGATGATCATGATGAGGGCGATGGTGACAGTGATCATTACAGTAATGATAATCATGGTGGTGGTGATAATCATGGTGGTGGTGATCCTGGCGATGATGACGACAGTGAGAGGTACACAATACATGAATGGGTACCCACCTGGTTGTAAATGGTTTTTTTGTTCCCGTATTGATTAACACTCTTGTTGTTGTGGTTCATATTCAGTCGGTCGATTGCTTAACTTTAGTGCTTTCAAAATGTATTTTCTAAGCAAAAAAATTACACGTTTGTAAACTCTAACTATACTGCCAGCAAATATTCCTGCATGGATCCGAGTGCTTCAAATTCCATGCCAAATAAGCCCAAACACACACATGTACACGTGGAATGGAATACGTCCGAGACGCCATATGTGAAGACATGGAGTGATTACATCGCTTTCAAAGTGGATTATTACAGTGCAGGATTGTGAGAGGTGACCTGGTGGTGGCTTGTGAGGGGGGCCTTCATCCAGCAGCGGATTGACCATGGCGAATAATTATGATGACGTGTGTATACAGTATCCCTTCCACATAGCAAGAGGAAATCCCCGCACCTTCTTTGGCAGCCGGGCGAGAAGCGTTGCATCGCCGCTTGGTCCGGGGGGTCTCTGTGTGCATATCGGCCAGACCCGGGATCCTGAAGAATGAAGCAGAAAATGAAATTTCTCAAAATGAAATCCCGCGAGTGTCGGATATCTCTGCCAGGCACGTGGCATCCTTTCGGGATAGTCTCTCTGCAGAGCAGAAGCCACCGTGCGGTCCGCAGGGTGTTTCTTGCCGGGACAAAGAGTGATAATGGAATGTCATCCCTCTAGGATTAGGGATGCGCTATTAAGGTGCCACAATGTGCTTTTGATTCCTACAAACTGGATGGGAGCATTGCCAGGACTTAGAATGGCTCCCTTCCCAAGCACCATGTTACACGGACGGGAAAATAAATAATTGAGGAAAAACATTTTTCCATTGTGCCCAATGCAGAATGGTGAGTACCGAACAATGGAGTTGAGGGCAAGCTAAACTATGCCACCGTTTCTGTGCATCGTCTTTCTGCCACGTTGTATAATTGTACTGTGAGAGGAGTGGTCCGCGTTGAGTCTGTTGAGATGAACTGCAGCTCACTCAATCGCTTGATTTGATGTTTGCCGTATGTTTTTTGTAAAAAAAAAAAAATGCTCCGATCAAACATTAGCATAGCTTATGAGTGATTTTTTTCCCCTCCATAAATATTCCCACATCAACTTATGCACACTATTAAATCACATTTTCCAATTCCGAATTTTCCCAATTTCCACACTAATCTTTATCTCGGATTAAAAAAAAATCAATTGCCCCTGAATTGAATTCAATGGTACCAAAACAATATTAAAAATGAAAGCAGGTGTTAGCTTCATATTTTCAATTTCTGAATGCCTCCGTGGATTTGTTGGCAAGATGCATTCCGAGTGCACCGCCACAGCTTTCATGATGCCCATAAACGCCAATTTCAGAATCTGTTTGTAGCTAATGAGGTTCCATCATGGAGGGCTTTGCTGGCTCAAGCACCTTGGCTCAGCCCGCCACATATCCTGGGATATCTGTTTAATTGCGATTCAGCTTTATGCACTTGGAAGGAAGCTGCTCCGTCTCCTCAACCCTGTTCCAACCGCAGGGAGAGAAGGCTTACTGTAGTGCCCGGAGGCTGCCCTGGGTTATGTTTAAATCAAACCCCCAGCATCGACCACACATGCGCAATCCCTCAGCCAATTTAGAGCAGCCGGGGCTGGCCTCAGCCCATCGTAAAACAGCAGACACGTGCGCGAAGGCGCCGCTGCGCTGTGCGGCGAGTGTCCGCGCGTGCCTGCGCGCCGGCGAGGAATGGCGTAGCGCCTCCCGTGATTAATGACGGATTTCAAGGTTTGTGTACACGGTATTACGCTTTACCCCCTTTTGGGTTCATCGCTAACGTGCATTGTGATGGATGCGCGCAAGTCCGCACCTCTCCTCGGCGATATTCCCGCACGCTGGCTTACGGAAGGCTTCCTCGCCGCTTTGGCCAGACAGGTTTGCGTCTGAATGTAAATTGTGCTTTTCCCCCAGTGCTGCTTAATACACTCGCTCGTTATGCATAAAATATTTTTATTTATTTAAATCATTGCCAATCTGATGTCCCGGAGGCAGGGTTAATTAAAAAAAACAAGCCACATTTGCCAATTACGTCCCGTGCCACTTGCACGTACACGCATGTGCTCAAAAATGCCAGGCTTGGTCACTCATTTCACATTTTAAAAGTTTGCGACAGTCGACAATGAAACAATAATGAGATACAAAACACAGCAACACTGCCAAGGGCTGATTAGAAATTACTCTCTTCCCCTGCACAACATAGTGCTTCACTGTGAGAGGGAAAGAGCATCGTTATTTCGTCCGAGCGCCCTTCAAAGGCCTTGATCACCGCTGAAAATTATTGCCAGCGCTAGAGTGCTGGGGAGGGGGCAATGTACTGGCTTTAAATGCCCTAACCGCTCCATTTGTGTCGTCTGGGGCGTTTGTTTATGACATCAATAACCTGCTAAAGAGCCATAAATTGTGACAGCTCGTCCGATCTGAAAACAATTGAGGGAACACCGCGTCGTCCTTCAGCATAAAATGCAAAATCAATTTTCAAAAATGACTCAAAGTGTGCAAACAGCTCCGCTCGGCTAAAGTCAATAATGCACTTATTTGGAACAATGTGTGAAAGATACAAAAACACAAGTGGAATATTCGTTTGCCTCTGCTCTCTGCATGCCCACGCCGTTAAAAGTTAGCTGAACCATTAAGCCATCTCAAAATAACCGTGAAGAAATGTATTGCTTGATGAAAACAAATTGGATTATATTTTTTCCGAGGTTTCGCTGAGCAGTTGTAAATAAAAAAAAAAAATCTTGTACAGCTGTGTGACTTACACCTGCTCCGCATGTTGCGCTCACATTTCAAAGTTAATTACGTGATAAATTAGCAGTGATGGATTACAGAACAGGAGCCGAACGTCCAGGTATTACAACAATGTCCTTCCAATCAAACGGTTGAATTGTGCCGGAGTGATTACACGTGGCATTGCCATTGTGTGCACACTGAAACGGTCCTGCCCTTAAATTTAATTTATTTAGAAAAATTCCTCATTAAAAACTCTTTCCTTTTTCATAATTGTCATCCGCATCTTTCTGTATTGCCACCATTATAATTAAACACACGATTATCATATCCAATTTGGCCGCATATCCCCTGTTCAGTTAAGCATAGTGAAATATTGTGCAAATTGCATTTTTTTTAGGAATCAAACATTAAAATATGAGGCAGGGCAACGTGTACATAAAATGGTCGGGTCTTGATGGAGCAGGGTACCAATTTCTTGTATAATAATTCTTACTTACAATAATAACGATTACTTCTTTAATAAAGGGAGGCCATGCTGAGTTTGAAGACTCTTTCACAGGAGCGTCCTGCATTGGGATGTTTGGCCAACACCAGTGACGTATGTTCTTAGCTATGAGAGAAAGTCGGAGAACCCGGAGAAAACCCATGAAGAACAAGGGGAGAACACACACCCAGAAGGGCACTCGAGTCTGGAATCTTGCTATCACGTACCACTGCGCCTTCCCTGTCGCCATAGAAAGGCAACGTTATAGACCCTGGCTGAAACCCCTCCTCTGTAGCGAGAAATAATCCTTGTAGGTAAAATAGAAACCTCCATGGCAGATGGTAGAGATAGGCCAAGACAAACACGCACGAGACTAATTTGACCCAGCATAGCTTAGCATTCGATGCAATTCACCCTGGCTATCTGTGACCACCTGGGCAGACATTGGTAGCTGGGCACGGTGCTGACCACACAACCCCCTCGTTGCATCGCTCCGGCCTTGATAGGTACTCGCTAATGGCACTTTAGCCCTTGAAGGCTAGAATTTACAGCGCACGGCTCCCATCATGCCTTGCGTGCGTGTGGTTGTGTGTTGTTGAATTTACTCTGTTGCCGGCCTGCAGACGTCTTGCCGTTGTGATGGATTCGCTCATCATTTTGAGAAGGTGTCAGATTTGAATTGGTCCACGAGGCTAAACGCCTGATCTATCTGTGCCGTTTATTAATACGTGCTTGTGCGTGTGTACATATATATATATTACAGGCATGGGCAATCAGTGTGGACAAATCCCAAAAGAGCTTGCGACGGAGGTGTTTGAGGAGCACCTGGGCAGCCAGATACTGCAGGTGAGCTCCTACGGCATGTGGGGGTGGGAAACGGGGCTTCATCTTCAGACGCACACCCTCGGGTTGTTTAGAAGCAGTGCAGTCTGGTGCTTCACGGGACTCGTTTTTTTTTGCAGCTCGCATTAATCAATGCAAGTGTTTTATATGGTAATGCTCTGGCAGCCTAAATGCCAGCGACGGCTGGAGAGGTGGCTTGTGCAGCGCCCGGGGTTTCGGCTTGCGTGTGTTTACAAGGGTTAACTGGGTTCGAATCGCTGGGGCCAGTGGCTCCAATTATCACCTTGTTCAGCGGAATGTCAATGCTGCCTCAAGGCTGATCAGCCTCTCCATATTTAGGCGGAAAATCCCAAAGGGCCTTGTCGAGAAAGGGGATAGAGAAGCACTCGTCTTGTTCAGAAATGTCATCTTGAATTTTAGTTACTCACAAGCTTAAACTTTTCGTAATCTATGTTAATATTTGAGGCCCTCTGTGTACGCAGCACAATTCCATTATTGTTTGTTTGTTTGCCGTGGTTTACGCGCGGTAATGCCTCCGACCAAATCGCCGTAAATGTGCCCGACGGTCAGCAGGATTTTGAGGCTGGTTAGTACCTGGAGGGGAGACTGCATGGGAACACCGGGTGATGTACGTGTGAGGCTGTGACATTCACACCATGCGTGCTGGCTTGCCGCTGGGTTCTCCGGTTTGCTGTCACGTGAGGTCACTCGTCACCCATTCACTGAAAATAATCTTGAAAAAGAGCCTTGACGCTCAAGTTTCCTTGGTAAATAAATAAATGTCGTTCATATTTTCTTTGAACCTATCTATGTGACTTCACCGAAAAACTTCAGGAATGCCGGAATATTAATTCCTGCAGTCACGAAAGCTTTAAGTCAAGATTATCATTACTGTTTATTGCATTCTTAATTCGTGGACTCATGAAGGTGATGTCATCTGTTTTTGTTCACAGTCATTGGACGGATTTGTTTTCACGCTCAACTTTGACGGGAGGTTTCTGTACATATCTGAGACCGTCTCCATCTACCTGGGCCTATCTCAGGCAAGTACCAGTGCTGCTGTTTTTTGTGCGCACAGACACACACACGTGCGACACTGCGTAGCCAACACGTGGCGAACCACACAGTCATGAAAGGTGGGCACCCTCTTCAGAGCGTCGTCGGCCATGATCTATCAACTTCTTGATGAAGGCCTCCAACAAGCCATCGTTATCTCTCATGTTCTCGTGATGCAATGATCCACCCGGCCCCTACGCAGGAACCGATTGCGTTGCTCCATCTCCTCTCGGCCGCGTTTCCCTCCTTTGGCTGCCGCTCTGTCATTAGTTTTGCCCACTGGCAGCTATTGTTCCTTCCAGAAACGCGACCTTCCCAAAGCCAATTACCCTTCTTTCCTCAATATGTCTTTAATGTCGTTAAATTTTGCATAAGTTCTCTAATCCACCACGTGTTCCAAGCATAGAGCGCCTTGTGCTTCTTTGTGCTTTTAACATATTTATTAAATGTTCTTTTTCAATGTCCTTGTTTCTGACCCTTGCTTTATAGCAGGTAAGTGAGACTGAAATACAATTCATCAGAGTTTAAAATACGATGTCTGCTGTTGTTTGGGTGTTCTGTGGAAAGGACGTGGTTTTAAAAATATTAATCAAAAGGATTTAAACGTTGAACACGTTTAGAGACAGAAAGAGGACCTTGTGGATTTAAAGGACATAATTAAGAGAAGTGGTCTTGGGCAGGACACGTCGCTCGAATGGATGATGGACGATGGGGGACCGAGAAAAATAGCAGAGTGGCAGCGAGGGAATGGAACGGATCTGAGAAGCCCTCTGCCAAAGAGACGGAGCAGGTGAAGTGGGTTTGTGTGCAGGTGCGGGGTGGAGTAATTCATTGCAGTTTCGTGAGGGGTGGCTCTGACTTGGGGATGCCTTAATCCAGCAGTGGATTGACCATGACTAACGATTAAACATTTCGATGAATGGTTGATGAAATCCTCCTTGGCCGATGGTCAATTTAAATTTGCGCTGAAAAGAAGCCCTCTCGAGCCAGCTGTTGCCCTCGCACCCAAAGATCCCGTGCAGATTACTCCTTATAGTGAATGTGACACCGGTTATACAGTTATAGCGGCCTGTGATATGTGGCGTCTGGAACTCTGGCTCTGTATGAATTCATATTCTGTATATATACACGAGGCGATGTAGATTTAAGGCCACTGATCTAAAGAGAGGGAGCAGTAAAGGGTGCAACCAATGTGCAGTTTAGAGGGGGGGGGGGGGAGGGGGGGTAATGTCAATATATTAAAATGCAACTTGGAAGTGACCATCATGGGTTTCTTTTTTAGCTGGTGACAAATACATTTTTTGTGGCATGATAATGACTTATAAATAATGAAATTAAGGTAATTGATAAAATACCTCATAAAATCAATTAACTGCACATCAGATGCAATTATAGATTAGTACTTCACATTAGTCATGCGTCGACCTTGAGAGTGGGGCTGTGCAGCAGCCTGGAACAAACTCACAGCTTATGTTGCTGTATTAACGGGCACATTAACTTTTTTGCACGCAATTTCAGTTTCATCGGTTCGACAAAATCTCTCCGCGAAAAGCGACCGATGCCGCGCGCGCGCTCGCCACGTCGGTGTTTCGCGTCCTCCCCGGTGAGCGTATCGACACGCCTCGATTCGCTATCCGTGCCGTGCGAACCCGGCCGGCGCTCTGTGGCAAACGCCGCAGCCGCCGTCGCTTCTTCTTCTTCCCACTTCCATTCCGCCACGACCAATCGGCGGCGCCCCCCCCCCCCCCGTGTGTGTTCTCGCCCATATTCACGTGTTCCCCCCCCCCCCCTCTGTCCGCGATGCCTATCTGCCCCACCGCTTTATTACGCCGCGTCCTGCTGCAAGCGTATCTCCGGCACGGCCGCGCTATTTTAATTTTGCGTTTTAAATTGCCCCTGGAATATGGAAATGTCCGTATATCTTAGAGGGCTTTTCTTTGGTCCGTGAACTCGCTCTCGGTCTCGCCTCCTGCCCCCCCCCGCCTCTTCGTCCTCCTCCGGCCTCAAGGACGCAGTTTGTGGGAACGGTAGCGGTGTAAATTGTGCGGTGATTCTGACGATCAATGTGGTGTGGAGAGGCCTTCATCCAGCAGTGGATTGACGGAAGGCTATAGATTAGTTTTATCATTATTTATATTTGCAGATTATGGTAAAGTAGGGATTTGATCAATTGCATCTCTAAGCATTGAGCTCCTACCTAGCAGTGTAGATGGAGGTCTATGCCCAACCGCGGTGTGGTAGCGACCGGCGTATCAACGCGGACCACAATTAATTGTCACACTTTCAGGGTCACACGTCCAGTATATTTTTACTTATCGTGGACTGCCCCTCGCTCAGTGAAGCTCCGTGACAAGGGCGACTAGATCATTGCTGCTATTCACCTCTGTGCGTCACTGCATATCACAAAGTCAGAACTCACTGCTGGGACTCATCCTGCCCTTGCAACTTCGCGTGCGGCAAATACAAGGAGATACAATGCAATATCTGAGGTCCTGTTTCAATGTATATTGCAAAGTGGATTGTGCCAAGAACAAATATTCCCACAATGACTTTTATAATTTAACTTTTTAAAAATTAAGTATTTAGTTTAGTAGCAATACTTTTAGATTACTGCAGTGTTTGTCTGTTACCCAAAAGCTACTGTGATTTAAATGTCCACGTGCCTCTTTAAAACTGATGAGGGAAAAAAAAACATATTAAATGTAATTCTCATCAGGCCCCATGGCGTCCACTGTCTGTCTTCTGGCCTCTGGACGGGCTATGACGGAGGGCAGTTGCCTGAAAATGTCACATGTTTCTTTTTCATTAATTGTTTTTATTTTAAGGCGCAAGCGTGTTATTTACGAATGTGTTGAGGTGTTTTTCTTTCTTATTATACCAACAATGATAATTTAAAAAAAACAACCATTACAATATTCCATGCGGGAGGCTCCTGCATGCGGGAAGTATGGCCAATTCCATCATTAAGTGTTTGGTTTGTAGGAGGAAATTGTAGAACCTGCAGAAAACACACGATTAGCAAGGTGTTCGCACTCGAAGCTTCGCCCAGATAGATTCAAGAATCCATTGCTGCATTGCTGTCTGCTGACCACCTCACATACTAATGATATATTTTGGAGAATAATCACGACAGTGCCATTATAAAATAGATTTAAGAAAAGTAAAATGGCAAAGCACCAGTCACTCCACTGCTCGATGAAGTGCCTGCCCACGCCACGTCGGTCGTGAGGGTTGTCTCACTATACTTCACTATGCTGGTGAGTGCGGACTGGCCGCGGCTAACGTCAGTGGCACGAGCCTTCCTTTCACCAACAAGCGTGGTGCAGTAAGTTCAAGAACAACAACAACAACAAAAAACCGCACGACTGACGCGGCATGGGAGGACTCCATCCAGCAGTGGATTGACAGAGTGGCTGAGAAGAGTATAGCATGCGAAGAGCTTCCAGCAGCCTTGCACACATTGTGGGTCTATCACAAGGAGCATTGTTAACAATAGTGTTGTTACACACACACAAAAAACAATGGAGTCACAATCTTGCGAGCATCGACTCACGAAGTCAGTCTGTCTGGCACTTGACACGTGGAACCTTGAGATGAAACGGTGCAGGTATGACACCGATAGGAGATGCCAGCAATGCATATTTTATGATTTACTCTGGCACCAGGTATTTCTCCCAGACTTTTCTCCAAGTTTCCGATGCAATGGAGACGTTCTCTTCGCTGGCTCTCACCTGCGTTAAGCACAACCACCACAATCCGAGCACGATGTACACGCCATCTTGCTGCAACCACACCTCACGACGCTACCCAGAGCAATGCCGAGAGCAGTGGGACATGAGCGTCGTGGAGAGAGGAAGCTTATTTATCACATTTGTTTGTTGGCCATATGCAGAGGAAAAGAGGCAGCAGGTCTTAGGCCTGGACTTGAATAGGGATGGGGAGTCAACAGCACAGATGGCTGAGGGCATGGAGATCCAAACCCCAAGGGCGGTAGATGAGAAGAATCGACCTCCCGCTGAGCAAAAGCTGACCCTGGGGGGGCTCCGACAGAAGTCCGCGGTTGCAGGAGGGGAATCGCACGCAGGAGGAGCGTGCGGAAGGTGCGGAGCAGGCAGAAGCGGCGGGTGGGGGTTGTGGTTGGCGGGAGCGCAGTGGGGCCCGAGAAAGTGAGCGGTTAAACCCACGGCTCTGTGAGACGCATGATAAACATTTGGCCCTTCATACGTGCACGGTTTTTTGTTTTACCGGCGCGATCGTTAGCGCAGTAGAACATTAATTTTAAGAGCGCTCTTGTAAGTACTGGGGAATATTCTTTGTGGTGCGGATGGTTAATTTGACCGCGGCAATTCCGCACAACGGGATCTTCAATGCAGCAAGCTACGAGGCTGTAAAATAGATTCCGTGTTTTTTTTTATATTTAAAAAATAAATATCTCCCCCGCCGCCCGCCCCCCGCCGCCGCCTCCCAAAAAATCAAAGCGTGAATGCAATCGAGTGTGCTCGGCGGTGCAGGAATTAACAACAACAAACGGGACAGGAGGCGCTGGGCGCTTCCAGCGAGGAGCGAAACGGCAGCCGCGCTTGCCCCGGCGTTTTATGCGTTCGGCAACTTTTGACGATTTCACTTTGAATACAAATCAGTTCAGGCGTACATTTGAGATTTTCGGAGGGCATTTGTCTGCAGCTCGATGCCTGCTCACGGGTAGAAATTCGTACCCCAATTTGAGACTATTCGCCTGGAAACATCCCTGAAGGTTTCATTTCTTGCCATCGGGGCCCCCTCAGTGTAAAGTGCAGTCTCGCACTGTTATCTCTCTGGCCTTGTGCTATGCAGAAGGCCCGTTGCCCGAAACATCGCCTATTATGTATTTTTTTTTTAGGGCCACAGTGTTACTGATGGAATGTGTTTGAGTTTTTTTGTCCGTTCCATGGGCACTGCAGTGCAGTTTCCACGCTTCACTGGGAGCCGATCAGACCCTCCCTAATGC